TGGAAAAACTATTAATTGTTCATGGGAAAATGTCAAAAAGTTTAATTTGAGTAGACAAGATAAATTTAGATCACATAAAAATAAAACCCTATAAACCATATTGTTTACTAGCAGTGCCACTGCAACCTGAAATGTCCATAGTTCTAATAATGTCCTTGCACAAACTTTGAGATTCTGCTTGCTGAAATGGAATGCTTCATTTTCATTTCCTGGATTAGTCTTCTGAAAGGCTGATTATACCTTTATACCTGTGTGTTGTTAGGGTTGTTTCTAGAACAAACATAAGCCTTCACCTCCACTATGGCATGATTAGGAACTGAACCACATGGTCAGCTTATGCTCAGTGTTCTTCCCTGGTATTCCTTCCTTGCGAAGCACCATATCCAATAACATACCTGAGAATCATTTAAAAACCAGGAAACTCAACAAGAAATGTAAAATGTAGATATGTTGAATAAAAAATTTAAGCTAATTGACTATATATACACACACACACACACACACACACACACACATACATATATATGGGTAATATAGATATATATAGAGAAATATATACCCAACAAATTGAATTCACATTATTTGCAAATAAGCATATAGGTGAAAAACCAATTTATTGGACCTTAGAGAAAAATCTCAGTAAATTATAAAAAGCCATAAACCAAAAAGACTGACCACATGCAGTAAAAAAAAAAAAAAAAAAAAAAATTAAGGAACAGATATAGGGAGCTCTGATAAGATTGTGCAATAGGCAGACAAACCACACGGATCCTCTTCAACAAAGAAAAGAGGAACCAATTACCACAGATACAGAAGATAATCCTGGAACCCTGATCTTTGAAAGGCAGGATACAGAAATGGACTAAACTCCAACTAGTAGAAGAACCTTCAGGTAAACACTGAAAAAGGAGACATACAGAACTGCATTCTGTCAGCGATCCTCACTGCACAGACAGCATGGATATTGCCAAGTAGTGTTAGGACCTAAGAACTAACCTAAAAATCAGCCCTGCTAGCCTGGGGCTGCATGGAGGACTGCACGGGTGGCTGGTGAATAAAAGGGGAAGCAGCAAAGAGGCAAACAGGCTGAACTGTGGACTTTTGGCTGCCCAGAGGGTGCAGCCATTTTTAATGTTTACAAGTGGTTTGACCATTTTGGATATTTAAAGCTACAGTGTTCTCTCAGATTCCAGGCACCTAAGAATAGGCTTCACTTGCCAGGGATCACAAGAACATACTACATATTGAGGACTGCAAAGGTGTGATATTCTCCTGTTACTCTTATACCGCACACCCTCTTGGTGAGCAGAGGTGTAGCCATCTCTTACTCCCACGCACCTTCTGGGCCAGCAGGAATTCCATCCCAGTCTGTGTGCTCTGAAGGAGCTTGAGTGCCCTGCCCTGCCCCACCCTGATTTTCTTTTTTTTAAGTTTGTTTGTTTTTGTGTGTTTAAATTTTTTTCTTTGTCCTTTTTATTATTATTCTTTTTTCTCCCTCTCCCAGGTTCTAGTTTCAGGCTTTTTCTCTCTTCCCTTTTCTTGGTTACCATTTTTTTCTTTCTTTTGGTTTCTCCATTCCTTGTTTTACTTTTTGCATTTTTCCCATTTTTTCCTTCATTATTCTCCTACTCTACCTGATTTATCTTATTCCTCTCTCTCCAATTATTGAAAGATATTTCCCTCCTTTTTCTATTCATATTTATTTTTGCTTTTTGAAGTATTTCTTTAAATATTTTCTCTCATTTATTGCTTTTCCTCTTTTTTTTTTTTTTAATCTTTTTTTCTATTTGGTGAATGCTTCTGTGTGTTTATACAGTGTGTGTTTTTTGTCCTTGTACATTCACTTTTTTGATGTTTTTTTTCAATTATTGTTTTTGTCTGAGTCGGAGACTGCAACCGGGCCCATATGACCAAACCACACCTGCACCTCCTGCAGCTCCACATACTGAGTGAGAGCCACCAGCTTCTTCTGCACCAACTGGCCCGTGATACGCAACCACCATTAAGAGCCTGATTCACCATTATCTGCTCTTCACAAACAGTTAACAAAGATCTGTATAGTCACTGTCATTCTCTATGACACCCACCAGGAGACAGGTGGTGAGTGCATAAGTGCTTCCAACTAGTGAATAGAGGAGCACAATACCCTGCTTACTCAGATACATCCACCACCACCCCCAAAAAAAGAAAATGAAAATCTTGGGTGAATCACTCCAACATGAAATAACCAATTAAATATAAGCACAAAAATTCACAATGTCTCAGAGACAACAGATTATCACAGTCCACACAAAGAAGCAACATAAAACAATACAAACAAGGGACCAGGATACAGACCAAGAACACATCCTTGAGGAAGAAGCAGCATTGGAACTCCTGGATAAGGAATTAAAAAGAATTATATTTAGCTACCTTCAACAGATTGAGAGACAGATCAAGGCAAACACTGACAAAATTCAGAAAAATGCAGGCAAAACACTAGAACAATTTTGGAAGAAAATAAAGGAACAAAATGACAAAACAAATGGAAACTAGAAATGATACAAAATCTACAGACAGGAATCAGAAGATTAATACTAAATTTTCAGAAATAAACATATTGAAATGGTAAAGGAGTAGAATCAAAGCAATGGAAGGTATAATTAATGAGATTGAAGCCAAATACCTGAATACTTCTTTGGAAAGGGATCAATCAGAAAAAAAAGATCAAAACAAAATGAAGAAGCCCTAAGATTCATGTGGGATACCATCAAAAGGAATAACCTATGTGTAATTGGAATTCCAGGACAGGAAGAGAAAAATAAAACCATTGAGAAAATTTTCAAAGATTTATTGGAAGAGAACTTCCCTGATATGATGAAAGATGAGACTATATCCATTCAGGAAGTCCAATGAACCCCAAACAAGATAGGCCACAAAAGAAAATCACCAAGACATATCATCATCAAACACCAAGACCAAAGACAAAGAAAGAATCCTGAAAGCAGCATGGGAAAAAATGAAAAGTTACCCACAAAGAACAACCAATAAGACTAAGTTCTGATAGCAGAAACCATACAGGTGAGAAGGCAATGGGATGCTGTACATAAAATGCTGAAAGAGAAAATTTTCTAGCCAAGAATTATATATCCAACAAAATTATCCCTAAATTTGATGGTGAAATTAGGAAATTTTCAGATAAGCAAAACTTAAGGGAATTTGTTGAAAACAGACCAACCTTGAAAGAGATACTAAAGGGAGTCCTTTGAACAGAGAATCAATAGCAGCAAATAACAACCAACCATTAATATACATGATGACATAACCCAGAAACCAACCCAGTTTTGGAAGTATTCAAAGTAAAATAATGTTACAAGACTGTAAACAGGGAACCAGAGAGACATCAGTTGACAAATGAGGACAACTATAAACAAAAAAGAGGGAAGAAATAGTGTAGTTATGGAACTTCTAAATGGTGAGGAAGTCAAGAAAGTTGCAAGATAGAATGGACTATTCTAAACTTGGGGAGAAAATTATAAATCACAGGGTAACCTCAAAGAAAAATGATAAATCTTCACACCACAGGGAAAAAGAGGAAAAACACAAATACTTAGCAAATACAAGAACAATAACTATGAAGAGAATGATAACATAATTCACTTTTAAAAAATGAGCTCAGCACAGAAAATTATATGGAACAAAGAAACAAGGAACACCACGAAAAAACATATAACAAAATGACAGCAACCAATTCATACTTGTAGATAATTACACTAAATGTGAATGGATTAAATGCACCACTCAAGAGATGGAGAGTTGCAGACTGGATAAGAAAACATACCCCATCAATATGCTGTCTAAGACAGACATTCCTTAGAGACAAAGACAAAAATAGTCTGAAAATCAAAGGTTGGAAAAAGATATATCAAGAAAATGGCAACCAAAAAAGAGCAGGAGTGGAAATATTGATTTCTGATAAAATTGAATTGAAGACAAAAACCACAAGACACAAGGAAGGGCATTAAATAATGATTGAAGAATAAATCAAACAAGAAGATATAACCATAATAAATATCTATGGACCCAATGAAAGAGCCCGAAAATACATAAATCAGACTTTAACAGAATTGAAAAGACAAATAGATGAGTTCACATAGTGGGAGAGTTTAATATACCACTTTCAATGAAAGATAGAACAACTGGAAAGAAACACATCAAATACACCAAAAAACTAAAGAATACTATCCACCAACTTAACCTTATACACATCTACAGAACAGTGCAACCAACAACAGCATAATATACATTCTTTTTCAGTGCACACGGTCCATTCTCCATGATAGATTATATGTTAGGCCATAAAGCAAGCCTTAATAAATTTAAAAATATTGAAATACTGCAAAGCATCTTCTCAGATCACAATGCTATCAAATTAGAAATCAACAATAGGAAGATCTACAGAAGAAGAGCAAACACATGGAAACTGAACAACAGCCTCCTTACAAAAGACTAAGTAATAGAAGAAATTTAAAAATTCCTTGAATCAAATAAGAATGAAAACACAACCTATCAAAATCTTGGGGCACAGTCAAAGCAATGATCAGAGGTTAACTGATAGCAGTAAATGCACACATCAAAAAAGAAGAAAGAGCCAAATTCAACACCTTAAACCAACATCTCCAACAATTAGAAAAAGAACAAAGAAAAGCCTGCAGTCCAGAAG